CAGACTGTAAGCTCAAAGTCCCCAACGTGGGGCTTGAACCCAAATCCCTCTGAGACCAGAGCGCTACCGACTGAGCCAGACCGCAAAACAAAGCTATCCCATGTACAGGAGTTTGTTTTGAAACGATCGTTTGGTAATAGAGAACCCAAGTTGTGTTAATGACGACTTCCTTCCAGGAAGCAGCTCACACTGACTCTGTGTCAACTCAGCTTTGTCGCTACCTACTTCAGAAATGGAGCTCCATTGTGGGGACAACGGGAATCCTAACAGGGATTTCTCACTAAGGAATTCCTTACGAAAGGCCATAAGTTAGACCCCAGACCAGTTTCCTCAGTTTTTGGGGGAAACAAGAAAACAAAGCAGTTTTGCTTGAAAGTTGGGCTTCAGAAAGTGTCGAAAAACGTTGAAAATGCTCTCGGTGTATGGTGTTCCACAAACACATTTTCTTACATAATCTAGGGTGGGGTACCCTGGAGCAAATATTTCTTTATAAAAGAAAGTATGTTATTGAATTTTTCTCTATGCGAGGACAAGGGATTCATATTTTGTTGTAATTGTATTATCATCCTGGCTCACAACAAGTAGGTTCTTGTAACGATCCAACAGACCTCACTAGCTTGGAAGACGTACACTAGCACATGACAGCAGGAAGGACCCCAACGGCTTGTGTTGTCCTGAGCAATTGGGCAGAGCTTACAGCTCAGGTCATTGGGTCAGCTTGTCCAGAATACCGATATCCAGAATTTGACAAATTAATAATAATAATCCTTTCCATTTGGTATTGGAGTTAAGTTACAGATCAGCCGTGATCTAATAGAATGGTGGAACAGGATTCAGAGGTTGAATGGCCTACCCTTGATCCTATGTATAGTGTCCTTCACGTCAGGAGGACACCAGGAGAAACGCCCTTCTCTTTTCAAATAGTGCAGCGGGATCTTTAAGGCCCAACTGAACAGGACAATGATGGGACCTCTCTTAACGTCTCATCCGAAGGACGGCACCGCCAACAAAGCAGTGCTCGCTCCCCCAGTACTGCACTGCAGCGTCAGGTTGAAATATGTGAGTCCAAAGCCCCGAATTTGATGAAAGGTTCCAGAGTATTCGACTTCAAGTTATTTCCTTTTTGTATAAATATTAATTGTGATACAGAGCCAGGAAGGAGGATAATTTGATAAGCCCAGTCTGAGCTCCTGTAAGACGTAGCACCGTGTAACTGGTACCATACGATATGCTATCACGAACTGTGCCAGTCTATGAAACTGCAGCTAAACATGACATCAATTATTAAAGGATGCCTATTAGCATGCATTATTCTGGTTTAATGTCAATAGATAGATTAATGCGCACAGAACCTAACCGTTCCCTTGCTAACTAGGCAACTCTCCACCAGCTTCAGTACTGTAAACACAGTGATTGAGACATCATCCTTAGACATGCTTCGCTTTCAAAGCCCTCCATGCCCTTGCTCCTTCCTACCTCTGTAACCTACTAACACCATATCAACCTGTCCATTCCCTCCGCTCAGCAGCCTCCAGCCTCCACGTCCCCCCACTCAGTCTGCCCCACCATCAGCGGTCAGGCCTTCAGCCTCTCTGCTCCAAATCTTAGGAACTCCATCCCCCAGTCCCTTCATCTTACTCCCTCCCACGTCAAGACCCTTCACTTCGACTGCGCCTTCAGCCACCCTCCTACCCCAACCCTTCTTTCTCCCCTCCACCCCTCCTGATCCCAAGGGTCAGGACAGCCAGGGTCCAAATCCCTGACTGTCCAGCGCCTTGGGACATCCTCCTGACATGAAAGGCCCTTTACAAATGTAAATTGCTGCTGTTGTCGTATAATGCTCTCGTCAGGACGCACCTAGAGTACTGCAAACAGTATGTGCAGGAAGGGGGGGGGGGGAGAGGAGGAGGAAGAGAAAAACGTATCATTTCACTCCTCATGGCAAACCTTCCTCTTTGTAATAATATTTTTCATCACCGCTGTTTTCAGATTTCCCTTTGGAAAGCAAGGCTGTGAGTGAGTATCAAGGGATGACATAAAGCACCACTCTGGTGGCTGCTGAGGGTAGCCTGGGTATTGCACTAAGTGCACTTACAGGCAGCTAAGGTTACAGTGCAGTTGGTGTGCGACAGCCCCTGGTTTGCTGGAACTCAGCGAGATCGCCGGAACGCTGCTTCTTGTTGTAACTGTGCGGAAGGGCTCTCTCTCCTGTCCCTCTCTCCTGTGTCCTCCAGACAGCCACTCACTACGCTCACCAGATGGGATATCCCGCTAGCACCATCCATCAGACAACCCCAGGGGTGACGGAAAGCGGCTGCAGAGCCTTGCGCACGAGTCGCAATGCCCGGCCACAGCTCAGGGACCCCGCTGCTTTGCACATTATGGTCCAGGTGCCAAACGCAGAGCTGGGAACAAGGGAACTGCTGACACTGCGCGGGTCCCTGAGTACTTGTGGGGTTCCCCTCCCTCCCTCTGCTCAGTGGACATCAGCCTGCTCCATATCCCCCGCCAGACCCACAATCAGCTTCAGCCTTTCTGCCCCCAACCTCTGGAATTCTAACCCACGGTCTCTGCCTCGCTCCCTCCGTTGCCTCCTTCAAAGCCAGTCTCATGAAACTCCTCTTCAACTGCGCCTTCGGCCATCCTCCTACCCTCACCTTCCCTGCCCCTCCACCCTCCCTGATCCCAAACCCCAGCTCAGGTCCAAATCCCTGCCTCCTGAAGTGAAAGACGCTAAACAAATGTAATTTGTTGTTATTGTTATTGTCTCCTTACAAGCAGAAAACTAAGAGAGGGGGCTTTAATAGCGATTTAAATACAAAGTCTCCTTTCTTAATGCCACTTCTCACTTGTTTCCACAACAGATTATATTGAGTAACTATTAACTTAACCGTTAACATCGAGTGACATAACTATATCCTCCATTAATATACCTATCACATTATATTAATATATTTATTATTTTATTATATATATTATATTCTCGGTGTCGCACAACCAACGTGTAAATGTGGTTATGTTTTCGTTGCTCTTTCTTTCTCTTTAGCGTTCCTCCTTTCTGCGACATCAAATAATCCATAAAACTTTCGGGTGTTTGACAGTGTGCGAGAACATTTATGGGGATTGCTCACAACCTTATATTAACAAGAACCATATTTGCACCACGGTTGGAATTTAGCCCTTCCTCCCATTTGGCTCGTGTAGATTTCCCTTTCCTCCTGTATCGGAGCCAATATCAAATTCCATGGCTAAAGAGAGCAAGATGACCAGAATCTGAGTGTTGTGGTAACGCTGGGCTAGAGCCGTTTATAAGAATATCTCTAATGCTACAGTTGCTCCACTCCCAGCTTTATTCAGCTCCTGACTCAAACGGCCTCGCTGAGATAGGGAACTCACTGTGTGGACGATAAATAACAGCCTCAATATCTTGTAAACCATCATGTAGAAAACCACTGATGCGCAAAGCTCACAAGAATAAGCATTTTGCTGCTACTTTCTGTCATAATATTAATAATAATCCTTGCATTTGATACAGTGGCTTATCATGTCTTCGAGATGTCTCAAAGCACTTCGCAGAATATTGTGTGAAGAGAATTGACTGTATATTGTGTGGGCGAAACACGGCAGCCAATTGCACACAGCAGCGTCCCACAAACAGTCGTGGATTGAGTGACCAATTTATTATTATATTTTTTTCATAAACTCCGAACTCCCACAAAGCCAACTTGTCCCCAAGACTACGGTTGACTCATCCACTTGAACGAACAGTTTTCTGTGGCTTTGGCAGTGACAGCAGCTTCTCAATCACTCATAGGATAGTGGTGGCAATATTGATGTACATTTTCTCTCAATCGCTTGTGCATTGAAAAGCATGAAGATCTCAAAAGTAGAGTTTCATGCCTAAGAAAGAAATGATCTGCATTGCAAGAAGTAACTTCAACAAAATACGACCCATCTGCGTTGAAATCTCAGTTCTTGCCATAATTATGTAATCCAGTAATATCATTTACCTTTATTTGGCTGTTGAACAATTTGAAGCATTTTCCGCGATACAGCATCTAATTTGCGGTATTTCTAAACAGGATCCTTTGATAAGAAATCCAAATTACATCATTAGTTTGCTGACTTTACCTCAGAAAAAGAGTTCCTGATGAGATATCTTATCAAGGAATCCCATTAAGAAATACTGCAAATTAGACCCCAATGTTTGATCACTGGGAATAAGCTCACAGTGACTGGATAAGTGGCCATAACTCAAAATGGGAAAACAATATGAAATAATTTTCATAATGAAACATGAATGTGGACTCTGAATCACCAGCAATTTCTATAGACGGAGATTTAGTTAATTTAGACGGAAGCCCTGAATGTTATTTAAGGCTCCAATAAGAATGTACCTCGCAACATTTCAGTTAAATTACTATTTTTGTACAGTGTTTGAAACAGGAGTTAAGGTCTCTGTTTTTTTCATAACTTGTACAGAACATTCCCTTCACCAACTCAACTCAACCAAAGCAAACCAAATGTAACCCGACTCAATTCAGTCCAATTGAACACAAGCCATCCAATACAGTCAACTCGACTCAACCCAACTCAATGCAGCCCAACTAAATCCACTCCAACACAATGCAACTTAATACAACACAACACCACTCAACCGAATGCATCCCAAAACTCAATCCAATTCAACCCAACCCAGCAGAACTCAATCCAACTAAATTCAACGTAATCAAACCCAATATCAAACTCAACCCAACATAATACAACTTATCAACTCAAACCCCATGCAACCCAATTTAAACCAACTCAGTTCAAACCACCCAACTCAACTCAATCCATCTTCAACTCAATACAACTCAATTGAACACAACTCAAACCAATTTGACTCAACCTAACTCAAATCAACTCCATCCAGTTCACCTCTACCCAACTCAACCATTTAACTTCCATTCTATTTCCCAACAAAGCAGCTGGAATTGACTGGTCTGAAAGCTGCTTACCTGGTTCCACCTCGTGCCAACCGCTAGACTGGCTTCCACTCCCTGGGGATCGGCCTTGGTTGGTATAAAAAGGCTCTTCTCCAGGGCTGTCCATTTCATCTTCCATAGATTTGTGGCGTTTTGTAGAACTGTGAGGGGAGAGAAAGGCATCAAAGAGGTTCAGTCATGTTTATCCTTTGAGCACCAGATCCTGTCAGGGACACATCCAGTCCCTCGCCATTTGTTCTGATCGTAATGCAACACTATCCTTGTGAGACATGTAAGCCAAGTGTACTATAATAACATGAGGGCCAATGCTGATAAAATCTGAAGTGGTACATAGAGATTGTATTTGATCAGTGTGAAGTGGAGAGATCAGATGCCATATGGATAGGCACACACCATACACTACTACACAGAACAAGAGATAGAGAGACACAGAGATAGAAAGGTAGGTATAGAGTGCTGTGTGCACACACGTTCACTCACACACACACAAACACATAGAGAGAGAGGCAAATAGAGAGAGACACAAACATACATAAAGATAGTAGAAAGCGCGACACATGCAACACAAACATTCAGATAGAAACGCAGAGAGAAAGAAAGACGGCCACACAGATACAAACACGTAAGAGTTATTAGGGCATGGTTGCAAAAAATGGGGTTGGAGCAGAAATATATAATTTTTTTTAAAAAGGAACTGCACAAATACCTGAAAAAGAAAAATATAAAAGGTATTTTTATATTTTATATTTTATATTTTATATCTAGGGGTGGGGGTAAACCACAGGGGAAGGGAAGGAAGTGGACAGCCTTTTATGATAGCCAGGATAGGCAATGGGCAAATAATGGCCTTTGACGATTCTCTGACCAGGAATTCCTCACTGTACAAAGTTTGTAACTTCTGGATTAAAAGTAAACTTTCCCTCCAGTCAAGTAACAGAAGCCTGACAACTGGACCAGAAACAGGAGCAGAGATTACAGAACACTCCTGGACCAAGGCTCCTCCAACACCTAAACCGTTTGGGACGTCCTCCTGACATGAAAGACACTATACATATGAAATTTGTTGTTGTGAGTTATTGAGAGACAAACACTGGGAGTGTGCCTGTTGAGTTGCCTCTTCTAACTCAGCGTAATTCACATATTTGAGCGACATGCTATCCTTATGAGAAACAGAATAATAACTAGCACAGCACTGGCACTATTTTGGGGTTGAAAAATGTGACGTTGGCATGATTCATTAATAGCGCATTCAGAATCAAATAAATAGCCCTACATTTGCATTAGAGCAACACCAACAACAATCAAAAAACACTCAAACCACTCAAGAGGTAAATATACGAGGGGTGGAGGTGAGATTTAGGGATTTGTTGTGGATGAGGATGCAAGGTGGTGGAGTTTCACATCAGTTGGATCTTGTGAATGATCCCTGTGAACTTGGACTACCTTTTCCAAACTCACTGGAACTCACTGGGAACTGGGATTCTTTCCACTGGCCTCCTCTTATCCCAGCAAAGACCGTGCCCTAATAGGTAAAGTTGTGTTAGCTGGACAAGCAGCGGGAAGGTTGCCAAATAGTGCTCTTAATGGCAAGCTGTATGCTTTTAGCTGGTTATACACCAACAGTTACCCCAACAGACACTCTGCAGTCCCCAAGCTTTGGCTATTGTGGGTCTACACCTAATAATCTCCAGCATTAGGTAAGCACACAGGGGAATTTCCATGTATAGGTTGTATAATCTTACTCTGGATACTGAGTATCCAGCGTGGAGATGAGTTTCCATATGTGTCAGACCCCCAGCTGACCAAAAAAAGAGTGGGGGGCGTGGGATTAATGAAGAGGGTGATTTCAACATTGGCTGCACATGGAGAAGGGATTTCTTCTCAAATCGAGCTAGAGAGTTGAACGTCTAATGAAATCACCAAAGGGGCCGACTCAGCAACTGGGAAACAGAATTACTGCCACCTCGCAAACAGCTTAGCATCAATTTCATTCCAATACATTCATTAAAAATAACCCGAATAATTCATGCTAGCTCACTGTCATCCACAGCCCTCCTCTCTCTCCTCTCCTCTCCTGTTGGCTTCAAGACAGTCCATTCTTCACACAAAAATGATGTGACAATTTTTTTTCTTCCCATTTTCTCCCCCTCCCCCTCCCAATAAAAACATTAATAGATGAAGAAACAGGGATTGGACTCATCCACTTAACCCCGCTGTTTCTATCCCTGAACACTGGCTCAGAGCATAAACCGTCTCTCTCTCTCTTGGCTCTTGGCCTATATCCCTGTGTTTAATTTGCGCCGGGCTCCATTTTCCTTTCTGAACGTACCCATTGGTATCGATTGTGTCACACGCTATCTATCCACCCTCCAGGAACTTACATGGAAAGAGCAACTAACTGGCAATCATTCTATATACCCTCCCCATCGACACACATACCCACTCCCCCCCCAAATACAAAGTGATTTGTGTCCTTGATCTCTGATCCAGGATTATAACAAGGCGATGCGCTGCCGGGCAGTGCTTCCGGATTGGCACTTGTGTCACTTCCTGCACACTTGAAACTGGTCTGCCAATGCAGGATGTGACCTGCGCTTCTGGTCTAGCGTTCCATGGGACGTCCGCACTATAGGCAGACACATGCTATACATGAGGGAGTGGGAGAGGAAACCGGACTGTACCAAAACAAAACGACTCGAATGAAGGAGGGAGGTGAGCAAGGGTTGGAAACTGGACGCCACCGCACTCAGTGAGTTCTGGACTGAAGCCAGACAGAGATATTGAGATACTGAACACAGCAGTGGGAGGGTGGGAAGTTGACCTTGAGGAGGTGTGAGGACAAGAATCCGCGAGAGGATAGGGGAGGGAAGAGGAGGGCAGGTTCTTTGGTGAGTGATCAGAATTAGGGAATCTGCTTCGCTAACCCTTCCCTTCACTAACCCCGCAACTCAATGCCGTGATAGCAGGATGGTCGGGTGGGCGGTCCCAAGGGATGAGATAAAATGGGACAAAGGGCTTCCTCGTTCAAACTATCTTGGGATCTTGTAACATTTCGTCAAAGATGCTCAGCAGGTCAGGCAGCATCTATGGAGAGAGGAAAGTGGGTTAACGTTTCCGGTCGATTACCTTTCGTCAAAAACAAAAGGTCATCGACCTGAAACGTTAACCCACTTTCTTCTCTCCACAGATGCTGCCTGACCTGCTGAGTGTTCCCAGCGACTTCTGTTTCTGTTTCAGATTTCCAGCAACTGCAGTATTTTACCATTTGTGACCTTGGGACTAGTGCTAACTGATTGGGAGCTACACTTTCTTGGAGACGCAATAACTTTAGCACCCAACACAGCGCCTATTAACACTGAACGCCTCAAGGTGCTTTATGGGTAATAATTGCTGTCAAGTGTAGTGACTGTATATTTGTCAGCAAACACAGCAAAATCAATTTTGCATAGAGCAAAGTCCCCACAAACAAGAGTCCCCATTGAAGCGAACCACCAATTTTACCTGGAGGATTGTTGGCCAGGACACCAGGAGAAAGTTGCTTCTCTTTTCGAAGAGCACCGCGGGATCTTTAACGTCCACCTGAACAGGCACAGACGGGACCTCGGTTTAACGTCTCATCCGAAGGACGGCACCTCAAAAAACCTAGCCCTGCTGCTCACAGCCCCCACCCCGCCTCCCCTCAAATACTGGATTCGAGCATCAGCTTGACCATGAACAAGTCCCTATTCAAGTGGGGGGTGGGTGGGGGAGGGCTCGAACCCACTACCTCTTGACTCAGAGGCGAGAGCATGCGAGAGCACACATAGATATCTGGTAGGTCAAGGTATCAAGGGATATGGGGCAAGGGCGGGTAATTGGAGTTGAGGCACAGATCAGCCCTGATTTTATAGAATGGTGGAACAGGCTCAAAGGGCTGAATGGCCTCCTCCTGTTCCAATTTTCCCATCTATCTTCCTATGACCAACTGAGCCAGACTGACGGTTTGCAAAAAGACCGCGATAGCTCCCAAGCCCCGGAAAACCTTCAGCCCTCATCGGATAAGAAGAGCACAAAAAGTGACGTAAGGTCCCCTGGTCTCAACCGCTCCCACTGCCATCAGCCTTGCCCGCTGGGCTTTCGTTGAGGGCACATTGTGAAAATACCAGCCGCTGCTCTCCCTCAGACACGTTTCAGTTTTACAATGGGTGCTCTATGCAGCTTTCTCAAATGGAGTGACGTAATGTAATTACCGGCTTGGCATTTTCCCATATTTATTGCTTAGAACAGCCTGTTCCACAGCCACAGTCCCAGTTCTCTCCTGGCTGCCAGCTAAGCCCGCGCTCGCTCACTCGCTCGCTTTTAATAACATTAGATGTGAAGGCACCTCTTTGAAGGCCTCATAAAAAAAGAGAACGAGTAAATATTAAAACTGTTCCGTTGATGGCGTGGGGTCAATCTAACTTTGATTTTTGTTCTGTTCTGGCTGTGGGAGGGGTGTGCGTGTGGAGGGAGGTGGTGGGGGTTGGTGGGGTGGTGGTGGGGAGGACCTTATATATTGTACACCATTACAGAGCTGTAAATACTGTAAATGCTTAAGCCCCAGTGCCAAGGCAAGGCACATACTGTAATTAGAGATATTAATAATCCTTGCATTCGATATAGCGGCTATCAAGTCGTTGAAAAGTCCTCAAATCGCTTCACAGAAATTTTTTTGTGTAAAGTGTAGCGATTGTGTATTTTGTCGGATAACGTGGCAGCCGTTTTGCACATATCAGCCACGGAGTGAGAGAACAATTTAATATGGGAGATTGCTGACCAGAACACCTTTCTCTTTTTGAGTAGTGCCACGGGTTTTTAACATCCACCTTATAGGACACAGAAGGGAACTTGGTTTAACGTCTCACCTGAAGGACGGCCCGACCGACAATGCAGTGCTCCCCCAAGTACGTCAGCGTACATCAGTGGAGCGTCAGCCTAGACTGTGAGCTCAAAGTCTCCGACGTGGGGCATGGACCCACCACCTTCTGACTCAGGGGCGAGAGCGCTAACGACTGAGCCAAGCTGACACGTGACGTTCCAGTATAACCAGCATATTTTCTAAATCCTCACAACTGTGCATTGCTCGTTAGGAGAACCCGAATCTGTGGATTCCCTGTGCAGTGTGTCAAGTTAAGCAATATTCAAAACAAACCAGAGAGCATAAAATAAATTACTGGGTTATTAACCAAAACCCTGCATTTAACAGTTCATACCAGTCCCTAAAGCTTATTCAACAGTGAACTGGTATGAGAATCATTTGTGGTATTAATTAGGTACATATTGTGCTGTACTTTAGAATACTCTAGTCAAAACACAATTACCTCAAAGGCAGGTCTTACACTTTTATTTCAAAGTGAAGGCCCATCGAGCCTATTCCACCAGTTTATTGTAATTCACAGATCTTTTAAAGCCAATGCCCCTTTTCCTTTATCCCTTCCTTTTTCGTCGGCCAACAAAATCAATTTGATTTATGCCTAAATCGAGAAATATTCAATCAGGAAAAACCTGGAAGCACACGACTGATCGAACACGGCCTTACCTAAACGAGTGCGAGTTCGGAGGCGGGAGGGGGTAAATGGGGGGGGTGCATCTACACCTAAGTATCTCTGTATAATCCTCGCATTTGATGCAGCACCTTTCACATCGGGAGGACTTCACAGGGTTTAATAATAATTCTTGCATTATCATATAGCACCTTATCACGCCGTTGAGGTATCTCAAGGTGCTTCGCAATATATATGGTAAAGTGCAGTGACGTGGCAATTTATCGGCAAATGCAGCAGCCAGTTGTGCACAGCGGTGTCCCACAAACAGCCTTGGAGAGCGCAACCAGTCTTATTTGGGAGATTGTTGTCCAGGAGACGGGGAAAGTGAGAGAAACTCCCTTCTATTCTCAAATAGTGCGGTGGGATCTTCAAGGTCCACCTGAACTGGCAGCCGGGCCATAGGTTTAACATCTCATCTGAAGGACGGCACCTCTGACAATGCAATACCCACCCCCAGCACTGCATTTACTGTAAGGCACAGCATCTGTGTCTTTTGGAAGCGGATACGGCTGGCAATTTCAAACAACCAGTGAGCGATCAATTTATAATAAAAACAATAATCATTACATTTGATAAAGCGCCTTATCACCTCTTCGAGACGTCTCAAAGTGCTGCACAGAATATACTGTAAAGTGAATTGACTGTGTATTTTGTGGGCGAAACGGTCTTGGATTGAGTAAACCAAATTTACTGCATTAAATTCACTCCAACACACAAGTCTCCTGCTTACCTGCTTGAAGATGTGCTGGGAAGAGATCTCCTCATGGCTCCAGGACTCATTGTATAATACGAAGAACCCTCCAGATCCGTGAGGGAAAAATTCGGGCCGGTCCCAGCGGCTATCGGTGCTGGGAATCGAGAGAGAAGAGGAATTAAAATTTTTTTATTAAATATTAAGTATTAGAAAACATGGAGGCATCAGCGACAAGCACGAGAGCAGCTTGTGATCTGCTTATTTCAGGCAGTTTCCATTTCCACTCGGGTTCACTATAACCACAACAACAACTTGCATTGATATAGCGCCCTTCACGAGGGGTAGCGTCGTAGATCGCCAAATAGAAATAATAATCCTTGTCTCTTATGGCAAGAACTCTTCAAACCAAAACATTTCTGAGAAGTGTAGTGACTGTGTATTTTGTAGGGAAACGCGGCAGCTGATTTGCGCACAGCGACGTCCCACAAAGAGCCGTGAAGCGAACGGCTGATTTTATCTGGAGGATTGTCGACCAGGACACCGGGAGAGAGAAACTTCCTTCTCTTGTCAAATGGTGCCACTGGATTTTTAACATCCTCCTGAACAGATGGGGCCTCGGTTTACTGTCTCATCTGAGGACAGCACATCTGAAAATACAATGCTCCCCCAGCATTGAATTGGGGTGTCAGTGTCGCTCTCGACCATGAGCACTGAGTCCCAAAGTAGGACTGGAGCCCACGGCCTTAAATGCCAGAGTGTTACCAACTGAGCCAGACTGACACAAACAGTGAAGCCCTTCAATGATGTTATTTCCTTGGCAACGTTCATATAAGCGACGTCTTACCACACAGAAGACCGAGCAAATTCTTTACTGAATTGCCTCAAACGTGAATTAGAGTCAGAGAGATTCTGAATAAAGGTTAAACCTTAAGCTATCAGGCAGATTTTTACCATAAAAAGAGAGAAATTTGTTTTAAGCAGAAAATTATTGCGGCATGGAATGTCCAACCAAGAAACTGTGGTGGAAGCAGAATCCTTAATAGCTTTTAAAGGGGAAATTAGAGAAATATTTGCAAAGCAAACACGTAAAACAGACATTTGGATAGCCATGAGAGGCCCGAAAATTCCACCTAGTTTTGACCTGTAAGAACGTGCGAGAAGACCAGTTTCAAAATTAAGACGGCGTTTGAGAATTTGCCAACTTCTAGCAGTTCTGGGAACGTTAAGAAAACAGAATTAATCCGGACAGCCACAGAGAGTTACGGCATAGAAGGAGACATTCGGCCCATCGACCTCGTGCTGACCCTATGAACGCAAACGCACACAGCTTACTTCCAAAATTAACCCCATCTTTCTGGTAAGGAGAAGATTGAGAGGCGACATGATTGCTGCCTTTAAGATTTTAAAGGGACTAGATAATGTAGATCATGACAGGCTCTTTCAAGTAGTAAAATCAGAGGACATGGCCTGCGGTTGAAGGGGATAAATTCAGAACAAATCTACGCAAACACTATTTCAGTGAGTGAATAGTGAATCTATGGAACAAACTCCCAAGGGAGATGGTTGAAGCAGGAAATGTTGATTCTTTCAAATACAGATTAGATAGTTTTCTTTTAGGAAATAACATTATGGGATATGGTACATAGGGAGTTTGGGACAAATGTGCGTGCGACCGGCAGGAAGGTGGAAAGCGAACTAGATGGATCTTGGTCTTGTTTTCGTCTAGAATTTCTTATGTTTCTTTCTCCCTCGCTCCTCTGTAGATCAACCAAATTTAACTCAATTTACAACAACAGCTTGCATTGATATACTGCCCTCTGCATAAGGTGACACCTGTAAGTAGATAGGGTCAGATCCCGAGCAGAGGAGAGAGTAGAGAGGGAAGGTGGCTGGCCGTTGGGGCGGTCGAAGAGGTCCGTTTTGAGGCGAGACCTAAAGACAGGTAGAGAGAGAGAAGGGCTGAGATTGCTGCAAATAAGCAGGGTCGTGGAGATCTCTGCTCTCCTCTAATGGATTATTGATTGCCTTCTGAAACACGAGGGAGAGGGATTCACTGAAAAGGAAATGAAGACTTGAAGCGTAAGTCCCCAGTAAGCACCCAAGGTGTTCGGTCAATAGGTTAAACCAGCCACTGCTCAATATAGAGTCACCTAGTCATAAAGAGATGGAACAGATCCACACACCAAGAGTAGCGTTTCCTGATCAGTAAAGTAATTGAGTGTCTCTCCCTCCCTAGAATCGTTTAATAGTTTTTCTTGCCAATTCAGCAACTTCTCGGTGGAAGCTGTTTGGAAAAAAAAATCTTCACAATCGTCTGTTGCTGCAGAATTTGGAATTTTTTCAGATATATTTGCATTTTTGTTTTCTCTCTCTCTCTCTCTTGTTCTCTCTCCCGCTCACCTTCAAACTCAACACTGGTGTTGAACGCTTTGAGGACAGTCAGAGCAACCCTAACACCAGCTGGTTAAACTCCAGCAGTAACAACAACTTGCTCAAGTCATCAAGACATCTGAAAGCATTTCAGAGAATATACTGTGAAATGTATTCTTTTTGTGGGTGAAACGCGGCAGCCAAGGGCATAGGGTCACAGCAATCTTCTTGCTCACAAGCTAAGATGAAATTGGAGAGGTTCAACTCTTGGAAATCGCAAACACGAGATACGTGTCGGATCGCAGTTTGAGAAAGTAAAACAAAATTAAAAGAATACTGATGACTTCGGCCAACTACTGACTGGCTCGCAGAGTTCAACAATGTGGGTCTCGCTGCCACACGGGGCTGTGTGCTGATCAAATCAAGCCAACGCACATTTGACCTGGTGAAAAGGGAGGTCACGGCCCATTGTGCAGGACTATTGTGAGTGTTTTATTGACGTCCTATGTACGGATGAAGCTTTGTGTCAATCATGGAGATGGACCTTTCACATTCTCTAATAACATCTGCACTCTGTAGAGTATTCACTCAATGCAGGAAATGTCAGTCATTAGTCACTGCCACAGCACAATAGCAACTGCCTTCAGAGGTTTCAATCTTTAGGTTAATGTTCGCTGGGGATGAGGAAACACAAGTTCACAATGTAGCGTCTGGTTTGTATTATTGCTGGATTTAGGTTGGATGTTTGACCAGTAGTTCTTGTGCAAGGAGGAGAGCTGAGGGGAGGAGTGATGAGGGAAGGAGATATGAAAGGAGGTGTGATGGAGGGAGCAGTGGACAAATTATGTGGGTGAACGCAGCAGCAATTTTACATAAAGCAATGTCCTACAAACAGCCACGGAGCGAACAATCAATTTTATTTTGGGGGATTGTTGGCCAGGACCCCAGGAGAGAGAAACTCCCTTCTCTTTTTGAACAGTGCCATGGGATCTTTAAAGTCCACCTGAACAGGCAGATAAGACGTCGGTTTAACATCTGGTCCAAAGGATAGGCATTGAAACGTCAGCCCAGACTCTATGAGTTCCAGGTCCTGATGTGAGAATTGAACCTGCAGCCTTCTGACTCAGAGAGTGTTACTGACTGAGCCAGGCCACCATGCAATTCTACCTGTGCATTGAGTTAGTAACTGGCTGGCAATGGTCAAAGATTGTGGAAATTCAGGGTCAAATGTTGCCAGAAAGAAATTGGAATTGTACACTACAAAAGCAAGCCGTGCACATCATTGGCAAAAAATGATGTCGAAAAAAAGCTCTGGTTATAAATGAATTAATCAACTAATTAATAAATAAATGAGTGCCAAAGCAAAGGTCTTTTTTTTCTCACTTACTTTGTGACACTCTCACGAGCTCAGTGACACTGAACACGCCTGATGTGACAAAACTGTCTTGGAAGCCCAAATGTCCTGCAAAAGAACAAACAGAAGAAACAAAATTAGTTTGTACAGTAAAGTGTCCCTTTTTTGATTCAAAAGAAATCTGTTTTATTAAAATTCTACGTGCAGTGGTGGCCTTGCAGTGAAAGGTGTTGTCTGTGATGATATATTTTTCATACCCCACCCCCCCAACTCCTCTAGATAAAAATCTGGCTCTGAACTTTAAACTACCTAATAATAATCCTGCATTTGATATAGCGTCTTATCATGTCTTCGAGATGTCGCAAGGCGCATCACAGAATATATTGTAAAGTGAATTGACTGTGTATTTTGTGGGCGAAATGCGGCAGCCAATTGCGCATAAACAATCATGGACTGAGTGACCAAATGATACTTTTTTTTGAAGGGATTATTACCCCCGGAAAAGTCATCCGCCAATTGACAAACAATTGAGTTCCTACTTACTGCTGGGAAAACAGAGGTGTGGGGAGTAAAGAAACCTGCTTAAGGTTTCTCCCTGCCCAGGAATCAAACCCAGGTCCTGTTGCTTGCGAGGCGAGTGCTCTAACCACTGATCTGCAGGATCTGCGAGGCTCCACATTCATTGCAGACAGGGAACTTAAGCCATCGCTCAACAAGTCATGGGGACATGGCTTGAACATTCACAGTGCATTGTCTCCTTCAGATAGGTCAGGCCCTTAATACTCCAAGGTCAGGTTAAACAACTCCCTGTCTGTAAGTTGCATGCTGGCAGGTGCCTAAAGGGATTGGTGGCAGTGGGGGGTGGGGGGCGAAGGAACGAGAGGGGAGGGGAGGAGAAAAGACATCTCTCCGATAAGCAAATGAAAGGAGGCCTTGATGGTTCACACCAGGCATCAGCATAACCTTTTAACTGTTGCAGTCATGGTTGACAGCCCTATGACCCGGAGGGATTATCTGGGATTTCATTGACAAGGGGAAGAACTGAGCGTTTTTTTAATAGGCAGTATTGCTCCAAGACACCAGTTCAAAGCGTCCGGAATACCCCGGCAGATCGGAACGCTGATTGGAAAATTGTTTCCTGGTTCGGACATAACAGACTGTAATAATGAGAATTTTGTAAACAAAAAAAGGAGAGGAGGTTAGAATAACTGAAACTTATTTGACAGTGATCCTGTTTGCTCTTTTAGCCCTTTGCTGATCTGCTTGACGTGTGGTTTTAAATCCCCCCAGAGTCTTGTTACAAATGGATATTAGTTCCACCCAGGATTGTGACACTTCACTACTGGGTCCGTTCTCTTTATGCTGGATCAATTGAGCTCCCCATTCGCTCACCTCCCCCACCCCCCCTCCCCACCACCATTGCAGGCACTTGATTTGACACACGACTGAGACACGGGATCCATTCAAACTTTTTATGCCTGTGGATTTTTTTTTGTAGATGGGGTTTGTGTGTGTGTGTGACTGTGTGCGTAAGACACCGGATAATGGCCATCTAAACAGGCACAGGTGGGGGAGGGGCTCAGTTTAACCTCATCATAGGATTAATAATCCTTCTATTTGATACAGCGCCTGATCACATCATTGAGACGTCTCAATAGCGCTTCACAGATATTGTAAAGTGAATTGACTGTATGTTTTGTGGGCGAAACAGGGCAGCCAATTGCACACAGTGACATCCCAATTCTTCTTCTTATTATTATTTTTGAAGGGATTGATTAATCCCAAAAGGGATCTGCCAATTGACTAACAATAACAACAAAACTGTCGGAAGGACGTCCCAAGGCTTTGGACAATCAGTGTTTCGGACCCGAGCTGGGTTCGGGATCGGGGAGGGTGGAGGGGCAGGGGGGAAGGAGGTGACCGAAGGCACGGTCGAAGAGGAGGGTCTTGGGACGCGACTTGACGGAGGCAAGAGAGGGGGGTGAGACGGAGGGATTGCATGGTTCCTACTTACTGCTAAGTAAACAGAGGTGTGAGGAGTAAGGAAACTTGTCTAAGGTTTTACCCTGCCTGGGAATCAAACCCGGGTCCTCTCGCTTGCGAGATGAGTGCTCGATCTACTGAGCTACAGAACTCCACGGACTCATCTGTGGAGACGGCACCTGTGACAATGCAGCAGCGTGCCCACCAGCATTGCACAGGAGTGTCCGATAGCCTTGAACCAACAAGCCTTGACGTGGGGCTCGAACCAACAATCTTCTGAGCCAGAGGCACGAGCGCTACCATGTTAGACAGGCGGCAAAAGGATGGTCAGGGTTGTGCTTAATTATACACTTGAGGATCTTAAATACACCTAGCAATCTTTCCCGAGGCGTCCTATTTTTAATCCAAACAATCGTTGTTTTCAAACCCTCTGTGAATGCAAATCTGGGGAATGATCTTGTGAGGGGGAGGGGGGGGAGGGGAGAGGAGGTGACCCACCGTTAGTTAAAAATCCAGCATTTCCAAAAAGCACAGAGATAACAAGTTAAGAGATCAGCAGCAGTGCTCTGGGCAGACATTGCAGACACGCACCACACATTTAACTTAGACAAATGAAAAGTATCCTGAGGCGCAGCTTAACATTGATGACTCTTGCTGACTGGGCTGAAGAAAGATTACTAACTCGCAATGCTAAGTGAAAACTGCGAGTTTGCCCTAAATCCCAGCACTCATTATCTGGTTCTCCCAAAACACTTTTTACATCTGAAGGAAGTGCTCAATTGGACAGAGCTGACAGTTTATTCCATCCAATTACCAGCAATTGAACCTGAGCTCAGGTAAGTGTGTCCAGTCTAACCTCAGAGAGGAGAGCTGGGGGGGGGGGGGGCAAGTGCTGCCCATCAGAAGAGCTACAGCCTTCCAACCCCGGGGGTGAGCGAGACAGGCTGACACCGTGAGACACTGAATTAATACCAATCCTTGCGCTTAATAGCACGTTGATTAAACTCTCGAGGTCCTTTTACTGTAAAGTGAAGTGAGCGTGTATTTTGTGGGCGAAACGCAGCAGCCAATTTTCTCACAGCAGGGTCCCACTTTGTGGGAATGAGTGAGCGACCAATCTTATCTATAGGGCATTTTCGGCCAGGACACTGGGAGAGAGAAACCTGCTTCTCCTTTCAAATAGCACCACGGGATCTTTAACATCCATTTAAACAGACACAGACAGGGCCTCGGTTTAACATCTGATCGGAAGGAAGGCACCTCCAACAACAATAATAATAATCCTTGCATTTGACATCGCGCCTTATCACGTCTTTGAGACGTCTCAAAGCGCTTCACAGAATATACTGCAAAGTGAATTGACTGTATATTTTGTGGGCAAAACGCGGCAACCAATTGTGCTCAGCAGCGTCCCACAGACAATGATTGAGTGACTAATTTATTATTATTATTTTTGGAAGGAATTATTACCCCCGGAAAAGTGATCCGCCAATCGACTAATAACTTCTTACTGCTAGGTAGACAAAGGTGTGTTGGGGCAAAGAAACTTGCCCATCGTTTCGCCCTGCCGGGAATCAAACCCAGGTCTCTCGCTTGCGAGGTAACCACTGAGCTGCAGGATTCAGCATTGCACTGGAGCATATAATGTGAGCTCAAAGGCAAGAGTGCTACCGACTCAGCCAGGCTGACACCTTAGTGAGTGTTGAGTCAATGACTCTCAACAATTTCTTCTCAGGGTTCTGACGGCTGAAAGAAAGTGCTGAGACTTCACTTCTGTGGAGTCTACCACCCTCCCTTGGTTACATTAACTCAATACAAAATCAATGGATCAAGTTCCTCTGACTGTAAGTGAACATAGTATTTTCTAAACCTAGTGGCAGAGAGTAAGAGCAAGGAAGAGATGTTCTTTCTAAACTCCGCCACTAATTAATTCAAGGTTTTTTTTTGTTATTTTTCAAAAAAATACTCAAACATTCTCAGTTGACTTTCAACGTCGACAACAACTTGCATCTATACACACATAAGTTTTGAAGCACGTCATAGGACGGGCAGTAGGGGGGAGGTGGACACTGAGTAATGGTCGAGTGGGCGGGGGGAAGGAGGAGGAGGTGGTCATGGGTGTCAGTAGAGATAGGATTTGAGACAGAAGTTAAAGAGAGGGGTGCGAGACACAGGGGAAAGGGGAGTGAGTTCCAGAAGTTAGGGATGTAGGAACTTTACAAACAGAACTTTTAAGTGAAATCACGTTTTGTTTTGTGTTTTACAGCTGAACAAATCCCAGTAGTTGATAGGGAGAAACTGTTTCCAATGACCGGTGGGTCAGTAACCAGAGGATATAGATTTAAGATAATTGGCGAAAGAGAGGAGACAAGGATTTTTTTTCACAGAGTTGTTTTAGTCTGGAATGCATTACCTGAAAGGGTCGGTGGAAACAGATACAATGGCAACGTTCAAAAGGGTTTTAGATAGGTACTTGACAAGGGAAACAAACTGCAAGGATATGGGGGAAGAGTGGGGATGTGGGACTGATTGGATATCTCTTCCAAAGAGCAGGCACAGGCACAATGGGCCAAATGGCCTCCTTCTGTGCTGTAATATTCTATGATTCGTAGGAATCATAGAATTTGAGCCGGTTTTTTTCCCGGCTCAAAGGACATCACTCTTTGAAGCATTTTGAGACATCTCGAAGACGTGATAAGGTGCTATATCAAAAGCAAGGATTTTTATTATTATTCTACAGAAAGACTACCTTTCTGATGAAGGGATCAGTCTTGGGCACTCAACCTTAGCAAACATGAAATAACAATAACAAAATTATATTTGTAAAGCGCCTTTTACATTGGGCGCTGGATAATCAGCTGAGGGGATCGAGGAGGGTGGAGAGCGGGGGGGGAAGGAGGGTAATCGAAGGCACAGTCGAAGAGGAGGGTCTTGAGATGGGTCTTGAAGGAGGCAAGGGAGGGGGCAAGGCGGAGGGACTGTGGGATGGAGTTCCATAGGGTGGGGGCCGAGTGGTTGAAGGCCCGCCCGCCAATGATGGGGCGGGGGGGCAGAGGGGCCGCGAAGCATGCCGGAATCCGCTGAGCGGAGAGAGGGGCAGGTTGGTGGCTGGTTAGAAGGTTGCA